GTTTACATTTCGTCTTCACTAAACAGCAGCTCATCTTCAAAGAAAGATGCTTTCACCTGTTGGACCATCTTCCACCCTTTGGTTTCTCTATCCCCGCTAGCATCAGACTAAACGAGGCCATGCAGATTTGCCTCCTCTTCAAGCTACTGTTTCACCTCCAATCTCAGGATAAAATCTGAGATCTACCAAGTGAATTTCATTACTATACCCACAGAAATGGGCTTCATTACCCTATATGCATTAATAATGTGAAGGACTTAATTTGAATGGGGAAAAGCACCTCAAAGCAGAACCAGTATTTTATAAAAAAAAAAAAAAAAAAAAGGATTTAATGACCTATCAATCCTGTTAAGTTAGGAGGTTGTGATCCTGTTGCTCACCTTCCCACAGAACAGCAACCCTAAACAAACAGCTTCATTCGTCGCTTACTTTGCTCAAAGTCCAAACCTTCAGGCAATTCAGAACCTGTGTTCAAATTCTTGCTCACAGATTGTCTCAGATTTCCAATAGAAATGGAACAAAGTGTGAAAAGCCATGGGGGTGGGGGGGTGCAGTGAGCCCATGCATGCGCATGGGAGAACATGCAAGCACCGTGCAGAAAGATTGCAGGCCGACGGTCCAAACTGTTTTACCAACTACACTACAGAGTTAGTGAAACTTAACCTGCTCAAATATATAGATAAAAAACTTATAGTTATACTTATATAATTGTACTTCCCTTGTCATAATGACCACTCAAAGAACTTTACACCATAACCCCATTCACCCAGTCACTGGGAAGCTCTAATCAAACCAGCAACTTTTGGGAGATGACTACTCTTCCCACTAAGCCACAGCTGCCAGACTTTTAACTGAAATGTGACAAGCAATCTGAGAAGCTTGAGGAAGAAAAGAGAGACTTAAATGAGACAAACTGTGATTGATCTCCCAGGAAATGAGCTCAGATATCCATCGCATTAACACTTAAGATGTGTGTGTGTCAGAAGATGTGTGTAGGACAATCAGCCCTAGAAAGGTTTATGATGTGTTCATATCTGATGCATCTGTTCACAAACCACAACAGAGATGCCTTTTTATTTTACTCTAGAATTCCTAACTTGTAGGAATGTGACAGAGTTTCTGCACCCCCTCAACACACTCATGCATACATCCAGCCACGCCTGCCAACACACTGTGCTGCAAACAGAGATGCACTGACTGGTATTCAACAATGTCCACATTGTGTGGCGTTCTACTGTGTGATCGTGACCCAGTCTCGCTCAGGCTTTACACCACCGTCCAACACCAGCAGAATCACAGGGATGACTGGGCATGAAATATGAAGATGCAGCTCTGAAATCCTGGCAGGGTCTCAGAGATTATTCCTAATGGCCCGTATCACTCTAGATTGTGAGGAAAAACTGAAAATTACTTTAATGGAATTCTTTTAGGGATTTTTATTTATCTTCTTGTGTTTAAATAATTAAAATATTTAGTTGTCTTAAATAAAAAGGTTAATATGTTTCATTTAAATGCACTGAGATGCTATTGATGATGATTCAATCCTTTGGGTGAAGCCCTGAGCTGTCTGGAGACAAGCAGACAGGCAGTCATTATTTTTTTATGAGCATTAGCAGGTGTTGTTAATAGTGGCAAGCATAAATATTGTATGTAATGCCTTCCATAAATAAACCCTAGATTACTGACAGATATGGTCTTTAATATCATATATATTAATAACTTTATATATATGTTAAAGTTAGTGGAACATATTACTGACCCTGGACATCTCCTGGTCTTTCTGAAATTATCAGATTTATATGTTTAACTGACTTAAACACTTGATATTAATCTGAGCAAAATGAATATTGTGTTAAATTCTTCTTCCACAATATTGGAGTCTCATTTAGGTGGTGTCCACGTCTGTCCCACGGTTTCTCTGTTCTTCGGGTTTTAGATGCTTCTCCGCTTAAACATAGCTAGATTCAAATAATGGGCGTGGTAAAAGGCTTTTGCTAAACTGCATTTGCTTCACCAAACATTATAATTACTATAAAAAGATAAAGAAAATTATATAAAAACAAACAAACATTTGAAATGTATTTTGTTTTTAATAACCTTCTTAATATTAATTATGGTTTCAAAAAAGGCTCTGTCATGCCTTGACCTTAAAAAATCTTCAGGAACTACAAGTCATTAGACTCATCATTGCTCTGAGCACAGATTACAATAATTCCAGGTTCTGTATAAATATAACTACTGTATGACCAAATAAAAATGTGTTATAAGTAACAGAAGTGTGATAACATCAGTGTAAAAGCAGAGGAGCTGTCCTACCCTTAAAATGACTAATAGCATTATCAATGCATCCAAAACAAGGTCTTATTATGGGGAAAGTTAGATTTACTGACTGTATTTAAGCAACATTCTATCCCAACCTTTACCGGAATTATCAGAACTATGTAAAGCAGATGATGATAAAGACAAACATGCATGCTTAAAGGTTGATTGCTCATTATTAAAGCAAAGTTCATGGGATATCAAAAGGTAGGTGTAAGATAAAAACCCTTACATTTAATAAGTCTTCAGTAACAACTTTGTTCCAATGGTAAATCTTAGATAGCAAACAGGAAATAATAAAAAATAATGGTTGGACCAGATGACAATAGTAGATGAGGTCAAAGAAAAGTTAGTTGGTTTGAGTCAGAAATATTTCTTTTGGCATCAAGTAGCTGAGCCAGAGGCAGTGGTCTTTTTGTTTTTGCCATCAAGAGAAAGTTAAGATCCATTTTATAAATCATCTTAGATGCAGTTTTGTATATTCTAAGCTCATGTTTTTGAGAATTGTAGAACATTGGAATAGACCGGATGACCCATATCTTTGACTCTCGTCAGAAAAATGCAGTCATAGTTGAGTAGGGTTGTCAAAAGTATCGATACTCAAAAAGTATCGATACTGAAACGTTGTATCCAGATACAATACTCGTTTTTAAAAGTATCGATGCAGTGCCACCACCAGTGGCACCTAAACAGTCCTTCATCTAAAGTGCAGAATAGAGGACAATGCACTTTCAGAACACTGTGTGATTGAATAATTCTGTGCACTTTTTGGTTTCACACTTTTTTCTGTAACAGGTGCAGCTGCTGAGAATTATTTTTGTTTCTTAACCGGTTTGGCTAGTGTCATTGTTATGTGTGCAAAGCATAGCAAAGGAAGGAACACTTAATTTTAATTTTATAAGTTTTTTTTATCAAGCTTGCTTAATATTGTGCACAGCATACAACCTTTATTGTATTTATTTATTGTATTTTATTTATTAATGAAAATATTTCTGTAGAATTTTGGAGTCTTTGTTTTTATCCTTGTGATATCGAAAATGGTATCGAGTATCGAATATTTTCCTTAGTATCGATATCGAGTTGAAAAGTTTAGTATCGTCACAACGCTATAGTTGAGATAATTCATATGATTCCTTTTTTAAACAACTTGCCAAAGTTTACAGTACATGTTTTAGATTTAGTAGATCAATAACTGAATAAATGGGAATTTTGTTCCATGATTTCAAATGACACTGAAAGTGAGGATTATTTAGCCCTGCCCTGCATTGAGAGCTGGTAGTTTTAAGAGTTTTATTTTGGACATGGCTGAATTACTTAAATAAAAATTATATTTTTTTTGTATAATAGTTAACTGATGACAGAATGAAACAAAGTGGTAGCTCCAGAAAAAAATATTGTTTGGAAATATACTAAAAACCAAAGTGATAGAGATAGAGATACAGAGTGTGAATCCTGTGTATGTGATTCTAGTGCAAAGGGAGTCTAGAGAAGTGGATTACTGCAATCAATGGGAAAAGCCTCATAAAGAGATGAATAAAGGGCATGTGGATGAGTGCAGCAGGACCAACCTAAAATAAAAAAGCTGCAGAGAAAGGGATTGATAGTATAGAATACACAAAAGACTCATTTCAGGGCATACATACAGGCCTCAAATATGTAAATGTGTATCTATAGATTGCTGATGAAGGTTCTCAGTCATCCAGGTCATAGTCATTCCGAATTCCGAATTCATTTTGAATTGAAAAAGCTTCCTGGAGAGGTGGCGAAACGTCTTCAAATCTTGAAAACCAAGTCCAGTGGATATTTTTTGAATTTTTACGGAATATCTATAGATTATAATATCTTTATAATGTACTTTGATAAGTAGGCTAAATTAAAAGTGTAAACAATATATCTATATTTACAGAGTGAAATATTTCCCATGATTTCCCTTTATAATTATGGCCAACTGCTAAATTTTTTTTGAGCAAAAAAACCCACAAAACATAACGCTTTTTTGATTTGATATTGCCTAAAGACACCACAAGACATCATACTTTTCCCTTCCAACCAACTTTCTATTTACATGTTTAGATACAGCACACTCCGAAAAGCCTATATTGCTTACCTAGTACTGTTATCACTGGCTGATTTGTTTAACCTGGCATCTAGTGGTACTAATAAATGGTACTACTTGAGATGATAAAATGTTATTCTTCTGAAACCATTCATATAATTTCTAAATAAAAAATGTATTTAACAAAAGAAACAAAAAAAATGCATAGGTAAATAAATAAACTTAATATGAACACATATTTTGCCTAAAAGAATCTTAAACATCTGTGTTAGGCCTTTTTTCATTTAATTTAAAAGAGTTAGAAAGGGAAAATCTAATAAACAAAAAGCTCATATTTGTGGTCTTATATTATGGAGAGATTTACAGTATAAGAACTTTATTTTTTAAGCATGCATGCACCTTATAAAAGTGGTTAAAAGACAAGGTTAACGTAACTAATACATCCTCATTTAAGAGGAAATAAGTGAATTTAAATCTCATTCATTTTTTGAAATAATAAGGTAATGTTTCACATACTACACCTTTGGTCCCAAGGTAAACGCACGTGTTTATCTTGGGTCCTAGGGGCCATCTTTTTCGGTCGAAGGGGGCGCTGTGGAGTAACTATATACTTGACACTCGGCTGCTTTCCTTCCTCATTAACAAAGTGACTGAGGGTGGAAAAGCTGCGGGGTCTCCGGGTTCTTTACCTTTTGGATTGCTGGACCAGTGTGATGGTGCTGCTCCTTCAGCAGAGCGGAGCTTCTGCGCTCCAAGCTGCGCTTTTTCTCCTCATCCATCTGCTGGAGCCAAGCGGGCTGCGCGCCTTTAACCTGGACACCAGTCATGTCATCAGGAGACACGGGGAGCCGGGGACACTCTTCGGCTTTTCTCTCGCTTTCCACCAGCAGATCAACCCCAATAAAGTTCTGTAAGTGTTAACTTATTTAAAAGCGCGCCTCCGCGGTGTGGGAGAGAGACCTCCTGAGGGGTTAAACAAGTTAAAACCACAGATTCTCTTTTATTTGAACTGATCATTAGATGGTTAAATTAATAGTTTATTTTTAAATTTGCTCAATGTTCATAAATCCTGTTTCTTGAAGGTAAGCCACATTTGGTAAATCTACAGATTCTTTCCCTTCCAGGATATCTGACTTATTTTCATCCAAAAGTTAGGCTTAATTTTATTCTTAACTTTTAACTTTTAGCAAATCTATTCACTGTTGATCTTGTTAAACATTAAATGCAAAACAGAAAAAGTGCTTTTATAGTCCTACTAATGTGGCTGGATAAGATTAAATCCCATTAGATCACAGGCAGGTGTAACAACAATGTTTTTATATACAACAACTTTTATTTTAAAGTTGCATCTGTTGCAAATGATCTTGTTTTGGGAGAATTCTGCTTTTAGAAGAAATATCACTTATGAGAGGTTTGATCTTGTTTTGCAGCAGGGTGCCTTTTGATGAGAGGCAGAGCCTGCATAAATGCTCAGGCAGTGTGCATGAGGTGTTGTCAGCCATGGAGAACATGTGGAGGAGCAGGGGAATGATGTTTAAATGACTTGCCCTGGCTTGTGGAATGTTATCTCACTGATGTTTTGACTGATGCAAAGAACGGCCCTGGTTTTGTCTTTGTTGGGGTTTATTTTGTGTTGTTTTGTTGGTTTTTAAATAAGGATTTATACAAAGCAAGTAAAGTCTTGTTTGAAATTATTTAGTCTGTGAAAATAGAAAGAGGCACCATGACACCTCCCAGATGGGAGAATGTGAGAGTGATGTTATATTTGTCATGCAAACATGGCACTGGCTTGTTAGTTTGTTTTCTGCAGGTAGGAGTAGAAAGCAGAGTTCTCTCTACATGCTCCTCCAGAAAAAATGCTACCACAGATTACTCCTAAGCTACCGGATTCTAACAAATAATGAGTTTAAATATGTATGATGCATAGGACATTTACTGGTGTGTCCAAAAAAAACCAAGATTCCCTCTAACAAATAATGCATTTAAATAAGTATGATGTATTGGACAATAACTGATGTGTCCATTTAAAAAAAATAAAATACATTGTTTTTAAGGTTCTTTAAAGTTTCACTTGGTTTCTTTTTGTCAGCTTAAAGAACCTTTTCTTTAAAGTGCGGAGAGTCGTCATGATTTGAGACAGACCTTTGTGTTCTTTTTCGTCAGCAGGGTTTTTTTTCTCCTGAGAACTCTTGCATGGATGCCATTTTTGTTCAATGTTTTACTTACTTTTAGATCATGAGAACTTAAACACAGCAGCTGAGGTTTGCGTTTGGTTCACAGGACGATAATAGCCTTAGAAACGCTTGGTAACATCCTGTTCACCTTTTTTCTTTTTTTTTCTTTTGAGATTTTTCAGCCTACTTTCTTGTTGTCAGACAGGTACTGTTTAAGGAAACTCTTCATTCTGCGTTTCTTGCAAGTCCTAAGCTATTTATTCCATTAATCATGATTAATCGATAATTAAAATAAGCTGTTGAAGCCAGCAACGACTCATTAAGTTATAAAATAATTATTAACTGTAGGATACAGACTAAAACACTGGGTTTTTCAATTATTTGCGGTTAAAATCTCTGTAAGTGAATCATCTTTGATTTTTGGGGAGCAAGTATTTATATGATTATTAAATAACAATAACAAGATGATTATTAGGAAAATGCTAAAGAAACATTTAGCTAAGCAAAATAATTCAAAGCCCAGAAAAACCCAAAATCATTTATACCCAATAATCCTCTTTTAGAATGACAATTATTTCATTCTTTTAGAATGAAGATTACTTTTGATACATGTAGGCTAATTTTCTCATATAGAAAAATGATAATACAATGTAAACACAATATAACCTTAACAACTATTTTATCTATTTATTTTCTGTTAATGATGATTTCATTTCTAGAGAATTGTGGTTATTGTTTTCTAAGCATTGCACCCTTTGGGCTTCGATATCTTAGGTTGACATCAGTTCATCTTCTTTCCTTCTTAGATCTTTACTCATAACTAATAAACCAGCTCACTGTGTAATATCACCAGCTACAAACATTTAGCGTATTATAGCTGTATTGTTTGGTGTGGAACATGTTTGTTTCATACACATGTTTCTCAGCTTGAATTTTGTTGCTTTTTAATTAAGGTCATGTCCAGGAGGGCATGCTTGAAATAAAAGTAGCTTTTATCATTTGACATCAGATTTTATAAGAAAATATAAAAATTTTATTTCTAAAGCCATATCATCCAGCCCTAAAAGTAGTATCCATTTAGTAGAAAAAAACAGGCATTAGATTAGATATTTGATTTCTTCACATTTTGAATAAACAACCAACCTCACCTGAATCTTTCATTCCATCAACAAACAGAATTAAATCATGACTGATGCATACAAATTAGACTTGTATAATATTTTCACATTGTAAGGTGTGCGACTGCATAGCTCACCTGCCAGATGTCCACCTGAGAAGCTCTTTGTTCAATACCTAATTCTCCTCCTCCTTTTAGCTTAATATTTTAAGTTAAAGGGCTCCTCATTTAAAATAAAAATAAAAATGTAAGTGAAACATATTTTTACTTTTAGAATTTTTTTTAACATTTTGTAGAATTTTTTTCACTTAAAATGATCTGTCTGGAAACGGACTTCAAACTATAAACACTACTTGGAATAAAAAAAACAAATCTAAACTAACTTTAGGAAAAATACAAAACAATCATTTAAATTTTTTTAAATAATTTTGAGCATATAGATAGTGGAAAGTCTGTTTCTGAAACAGAGCTTTACAAAAACACTAACAAAATTTTTTAGCTTTGTTAAAAAAAATCAAGTACAATGTAGAGTTAAGTCAAATATACCGTAACTAACAAACATTAGATTAGATAGATTAGATGAGCTTTATTGATCTCACAGCGGAGAAATTCACTGGTCACATATTGGCACAGAAGTTACAGAAGGTGCAAACAAGGAGGAAAAAGGTGCATTAAGAATAAGCAATATATATACAGTATATCCAGGTATATACAGTATATCAAGATAAATAATGATTAAGGTGCAAGTGTACATGTATCGCACACAATGAAAAACAAAATAAAAATAAGAAATAAAAAAAATAAGAAATAAAAATATTTACAATCCGGATGGCTTATATACAGGTGGATTTACTTTTACATTAACTCACAGGTTTGGACACATTTCAGTATATGGAGTACTTTCATTAGCCATGTTAAGTAGATATAATCGTTGGAGACAATCTGGAATTTAAAGCAATAGATTAAAGTTGTTTCATCGTATTAGAAAGAAACAATCCTACACAGCTTAGTCACAGTATATAAAAGCAGGTGGTAATAACCTTCATCTCTGCTAAAACTATTGCTAAACATTAACAGTCTGAACAAACCACTTTATTTTCGCATGCGCCATGAAGTACACAACTTCCTTTTTTAGAGGCATCTTTATTTAATGGCATTACATCTGCTGGAAATTTCTATGCGCTTCATGTCGAGACTAAATCAGCAGGAAGACATCCTTTCCCTCCCTCATAGTTTAATACTGAAAGCTGGGGTGTTTCAGCATCGGTTACTCTGAAACATATATATTTTTAAAAGCATCTTATCTGTTCATACTCCTAAGCTCATGTAAAAATGTCAAAGTTTTATGTCGGACAAACTTCTCTCAAGCTCTTCAGTGGGTCTTTTAGTCGGATATAGTTACAGACATAGAAGGATGCACAGAAAAACAGTCTGATCTCCAGTTAGTTATTTTTATTATCAGTCACACTTTAAACCTGTTACTCATTAACAAGCAAGAGGTGTGACAGAAAGCCTATCTTAAGAATTTAGTGTCACTTCTTCGTTAGCGAAGCATTTCTACCGGTTTTCATTGGGACTTCATGGCAACTAGCTGCCTTCTCTCTCTCTCTCTCTCTCTCTAGGTTTGATCATGACTGCCTCATGCACTGAGCATCTCTTCCATAACATGTTTATTGATAAAACTCCACATCATTAATGCTTATTCCTATAGACTTAAAATAGGGGAGTGGTGACCTAGTGGTTAGGGCATAGAGCTTGGTATCCTGAGGTTCTGAGTTCAAGACCCACTCCCACAAACTGACTCTCTGGGTCCCTGAGCAAAGACCCTTAATCCCACACTGCTCCCTGGGTGCTGCACAATGGCAGCCCACTGCTCCCCAAAGGGGATGGATTAAATGCAGAGAGTAATTTTGCTCTGTACTAGTGACTGTGTAATGACAATAAAATGAAAAAAAAAAACTGAAAAAATAGACAATTCCTGGAGCATAAAAATCTTCTTCATACCTATGTAAACATTTACCCTAATATTTCTTTTTTAGATATATTTCCTCTCTTTCTCTTTTAAATGTATGCATCTTGAACAAAGTTAAGATGTTTGTTTCTGTAGTTTTTCTAAATTTAATAAAAACATATGTGGTCATAGTTTCTTAGAAAACAAGAAAAATTTTGTTTGTTGTAAAAAGTCTGTTCATGCTTAGATAATTCACATGGCAGCCACTTTATAGAAATGTGTGTTGATTTCAGTTGGCATTTGTCGCTAAAGTTAGTCTTCTCATGGTGGATTTTATGAGTCTTATTTATCTTTATGTAGGACTATAGTACAGGAAAAACAGAACCTTTCTTGCTGTAAAAACTCCTTCAGTTTTTACATGTCCTGTAAGTAAAAAAAGGCAAAGGTATGAACAGTGGTGTACTACTGTGGGAACAATACGTTCCTCTTCACTTGATGATCTCAAGAAACCAGCAATGCACCACACTCACCACATCTGTCTCTTCTGCTCTCATGTTCTCAAACACAATGTTTGGTAATACATGCTGGCAGCTGCAGATCTCTGCCAGCTTTCACTGGGTGCATTGATGGGATTATTCTAAATCCTTTATGTGAGGACAGGCTTTAAG